TGCAAGCTACCTGTGGAAGGACAGAAGCTCAGTGAGGCAGAGGAACATGATCCCAGCCAGATCTACCTACAGGAGAAGAACCCCCATCCCATCTTTGCAGTACCTCCTTTCATCATATCACATCTCAGAAGTAGATTCTGTTTAGATGCATGGAACTTAAGGAGACTGTCCACTGGAGCACCTGACTACTTGCACACTCTTCAGAATGTCACACTCTGAAATGAAACTTGTCTCAGCATCAAGCGTTCTTATTTGTGAACTGGGCTGTTGTAGTAATTTAGTTTCCTGAAATATTACTGCCTTAACAACTATTAGATTTTTTTTCTAGTGCACTGAGGGAAAAATGGCATTAGACTCCACATCGTGTGAAATTAATAATGTTTGAAATTTAAGTAATTGATATAGTTTCAATATATACTTATATATGTATACTTAAAACTGAGCTGTAAACGAGAGAACAGTCTGGGAAGAGTTTAAAAGTTAAACAATACAGCAACACAAACATGTACTCAGCTCAGTTAGTAGAGTACTTACCCAACATGCAGGAAGCTCTAGGAATAATGCACACCCACCACCAGCCTACGAGCATAAATAGTGGCTCATTCCTGCAATACCAGAATTGGCGAAGTAGAGGCAGGAAGGCCCAAAGTTCCAGGAAGTCTTGAGTTATACAATAAGTTTGTGGTCAGTCTAGGCTACAAGAGCCTGTGTCACACAAATACCCAAAGAAAGAAATCCACTGCTTACTGTGTACCTTACCTACCAATGAGTAATGGACTTTGAACTAGATTCAGTATGCTTTCAACCAACACTCAGTTGGGTCTTTGGGATTCTGCTTTAAGGGAGGAATGACAGTTTCTGGACACTTAAGAGTATTTCAGGAGATGATGGCTCACCTGGAGGGGTATGGTACTTCTAAGATATAGTTCTAGTTCTAATTCAGGCACAGAGCCTTTGGTCAGTCTCCAGCACGTAGTTTTCTTTAATCACAAGAGTGGAGAGGCCTGACATGGCATGTGATCTTGGACATGAGTGTAGCCAACAGGGAGAAAGTGCTCTAGTTAAATTGCCTTCAGCAATGTGAACTTTATCTTGTACCCATGTTTAATTTTCTAAATTAAAAAGCACAGAACAAACAGATTGTGTATCCGTATGCCTGTGATTATGTCTACTTCTGTATATAACTCACTTTAAAATTATACTTACCTCTTACTATGAATAAAGATAATTACCTTTACCTGAAGGGAGAGAAGTGGGGGTAGGGGTGGGTATTTCTCAGGTTCCTGGAGAGCATCAGAAGGGCAGAGACTGCATCTTCTGAAGCAGGACCGTTTCAGGGGTTCTTTACTATTAGCTGTATAAGTTGTTCACTAAAAAACTGTTTATCATTTATCTTTGGTCTAATGAACTCATTAATAACCCACATTCACATGGAGGTAGAAAAAATAAGTTATTCCAATGGTTTGAAATTAAAACCTATTGAAGAATGTAGTTATTGAATTAAGAGAAAACTAACTCCTTATGACTGGAAAGATCATTTCAAAAAGCTGAGAACTGATCTCTGTTAGATTACAGCACACTGACTTAGCCCTGACAGGGAGGTGGGGGAAGTAAACACAGCAAAGTCACAGCACAGAACTACACAGATGTGTTTGTCATTATGGATTTAATCACAAGAAAGCAACTTCTCTGTCCTGGGGTCATCTGCTGAATATTATTCTCATCCAACTTCTCCTTTTTAGTTGTCCCTCAACTCACTTGGAAGGACCACAAATTAAAGGCAGCCATGTATCTGAACACCAGACACATGAGTGGTTAAGGGAAAAACCCTAGTTGCCACTTGGTTAATTTCTGGTTGTTTTAAATTTGTTTTCTTTCACAACACATGGAAAGCAAATCTCTCCCATGTGGCAGTCTAAACTCTTCATCTCACTGACAAAATGACCCTCCTCAGTGGTCACTCACTAAAAAGAGTATAACTTCATTCTATTCATGCAAGACATGCAACATTAACCAAAAACTTCAAATATATTGATCCCGACATTGAGGCTTTTTTTCCAAACTAGTTAGAATATGGTTATATTGACATCCACCCTCCATTACAGGCCCTTATTATTTATATTATGGTTGGTAAGAAATCCGATATTGAGTATAGCTGGTGTCTATGTAGGGAATTCTACCATCCCAGAGAGTGCAAAAAGGAAAAGAATATCATCCCTAGATAGTAAAGTAATAAAACATAGCTGTGAGTGTAGCTCATGTTAAAACACACATGGTTCTTGATCCTTTCTGTAGTGCCACACACACACACACACAAACCACACGCCCAAACAGACAAGTAAAATAGGAAAAATAATTCTATTGTTCCTTCATTTCACTTAAATTTGTTCATTTGACTGATAAAATAAAAATAATAAATCAAATTCTTATGATCTGATTCATTAGGCCTTGAGATAGCCTTGTGGGTAAAGATGCTTGCTGTCAAAGCTGAAGGCCTAAGTTAAGTCTTCTAGACTTACACAATTCAAAATTAGTAGGGAACAATTCAAATCCTAATTTGGCCTCTGACCATATGTTTACAATGGCAAGGGTCCACCTGCCCCACAGACACTGACAAATAAATAATTAAAGTTGTAGAAAGAGTTCACTTAATTCTTCAAGACAATATCTAAACATTTGCTGTGCTCGCAAGTTTTGTATATCAGTGAAAGAATTCCAAAGGTGGAGTGTTCCTAGGACTCAGAGACCATCTAAAAAGAAGAGGATCTTCTTGTGTTTATGTGAACATTGACGTCACATTTGAGAAGTGTTTGTTAAATAAGAGACACTATTGTGAAGCAATTTGCAAATATTACGTCCCCTCTACACAATAATCCTGAAGCACACACCAAGGAAATAACAGAATTATGAAGAGTTTTGAAGAATTATTGGAGCTGGATTTGAAAAGTCATAGGTGCTTCAATGTGTAGCTCTTGATGTTTGTGGAAACTGATTCAAATAAGATGTTCAAGTGAACACTGAGAAGTGAAAACAATAAAGAAGTTAGTAGTGCAATTCTTGGGATGGAGTAACAGATTGGAGATGGTAATTCAAAGCAGAAAATATGGAGGTCAACAGAGCTTGTATTTTAACGTAAATGAATACTCCCTCGGGGTAATACCAAAAAGTACTAATAAAGAATAACTTTTTGTGGTATATATCATCATGGCTCCATCTCCAAACTAAAGGATTATAACAGCTATTGAAAATCTATTAAGAACCAATCAGGAGTGTGGCAGGCTTTTAATCCCAGCCTTTGAGGCTGGGGTATGCGGATCTCTATGAGTCCAAGACCTGCCTGGTGTATAAGAGCCGGTTCCCAGGCAGCCTCTGAAAAACCTGTTCCAAGAAACAAACAAACAAAAAAAAAAAAAAAAAAAAAAAAAAATTCTACTAAGAAAACTATGAAAATGAGTCATCAAGAATGAAACCAGATCCAAATTATAAAGGATCTCAGTCTGTTCTTCACTACCTTGCCAATATGCCATGTTGACATTTTCTGCTTAGTGTATTTGAACAGTGTCACTACTGGCCTACAGCACACATGCACTGGAGTTTCAGGCTTCTTCTCCATGTAAGAAAGCTTAGTTGGGGCCAAACCCAACTCCAGTCAGCTCTGTCCTAAAACCACATGGCCCAAAGTGATAAACTAAATTTGGGCAAGTACAGGTGGTACCTAGTTTTGCAACTTGGTGTGGTTCAGTGAGCACAGCAAACACAGGTAGCTCCCAGAACTTCCTTGAGGGCAATTAATACTTATCAGTTGATCTTCTGTTCAATCACCCTGAAGGTAACAACTGGGGAAATGAACTGACACATCAGCTCTAACTTCCAATTTAGGAAAAACAAACCAAATTTCTGATGCTTAAAAACTTTAGATGGTCTGTTTTATTTGTTTGTTTGTTTTTGTTTTCTTTTCCAACATACTTTGCCAAGTTCCTACATAGTTTTCTTGGAGGAAATTCAAAGCAGTCATTACTTGGAAGCACATGGAGCAATGAAATGAGATCTGATACTGAAAAATAAAAAGACATTTCAGAGCAGTGACTCTCAGGTCCTACATTTGAGATACACAAAAGCATCAGCTTATTTCATGAGGCCTACAAATAGGATGCTAAATAGGGCAGTGCTGAGCAGAATGTCTCCATCTCCAGGAATTAGTACACACACACACACACACACACACACACACACACACACCTACCCACCCACCCACCCACCCACCCATCCACCTACCTACCTGCTATTAATTCCGAGTCAAGAAAGGATATTTCTTAGGAGTCAAGTGCTATAACTGGGCTGATCACAGTGAGTTCGAAGTGTGAATGCTTCATCGTCTCTTACGTCAGAGGCCGTTTTCTGACACTGATTATGATGGAGGACGACATCTCTGCGTAGGAGCGTTTCCCCCTAGCTACTACAGTGTGGCTTTTGGACTGGAGAGGATAGGACAGAGCATGATAGTAGCTGTAACTTGGGGGGCTGAGCTTTCACTCTGGGGCTGTGCCAGGCCTCGGAGTGTAGGGCTGTAGCCCCAAAGTTGGTGCTTCAGCTTTTAGTGTTCCATAGGGGAGTGTTTTTTTTTTTTTTTTTTTTTTTTTTTTGTTTTTTTTTTTTGTTTTTTTCTTTTGTTTTTTTGACTTGATAGGACAGAGTGCGATAGTAGCTGGGGATAGGGGGCTGAGCTTTCACTCCGGGGCTGTGCCCCAGGCCTCGGAGTGTAGGCCTGCAGCCCCACACTGGGTGCTTAAGTTTTTCTTGCTCCAGCTCTCCAGGACTCTGGTGCTGGAGGTCAGAGTGCCAGCGTTGACGCGTCAACTGAGATAAGGAGGTGGAGAGGGCAGTGGTGCCAGCCGGCCCCAGAAGCCTTCCCTTTCCCAGTGTCCACTGACTGTGCTCTGCTCTGCTGCTGTCCATCTGTCCAGCTGCAAGGCCCCCCCATGGTGGGCACAGGGATGGCGGTGCCTCGTACTGCCACCGTGGTGTGCCCATGGAGGATTTTTGAGCTGCTGCCAGTTCTAATTATCTTCATGTTCTGTGAATTTAAAGTAAGTAGTTCCATGCTCATGGTTCATTTGCCCATGAATAAAAATGCTCTATGGAGGTTCTAAATGAAATAAGGATTTTGGTCATTTTCATCATGTTGGCTGTTTGGGGAGAAAATACACAAAATTAATCCACAGTTGAAGTCTATTGCCTATAGAAGTACACATGCAAAATAAGGGAAGGGAGTGATTGTTTTTCCTTGGGTTGCTGGCAAAGTCTTTAGACTGAGCAAATAAGTTTCAGTAGATGAGGTGTGAAAACAGCATACACAGGAGCTCACAGCATAAGTGAGCCAAGGGCCTGATGTGACATGATGCTCACTGTAGACCAGTGGGTCTCAAGGATTGCTGTGGGGTGTGAGATCCAGCACAGGCTCATCAGTGGTGAGACCCATAGAAAAATGTATAGATATTCCTGATAGTATGAGAATCAAATGTCATGGGAAAAAACACAGGAAGGAGAATTGATAGGGATAAGGATAGAGAAGTTGGTCCTAAATGGGGCAAGAAGAAATAAGAGCTAAAATGAGTGTGACTTTCTTGATTAGCTGCAGAGAGGGGGGGGATGTGTGAAGAATCTGGAATAGTCCCAAGTTCCTGGCTCTGTCAGCTAAGTTACTGAGATGGGCCTTATGGGAAGAGAAGCATATTGTAGATGAGAGATGATTTCAGATCACACACATCTCCCTCAGAATCCACAATCAGGGCCTAGGGAGATGACTCAGTGCGGAAAGGAAAGTGCTTGCCATGATCTGGAGTAGGAGCCCTTAAGGCAATGTAAATGCTGGGTGTTGAATAGAGGAATCCCAGGTTCACTGGTCATCAGTTTATCAGAGAATGTGTGAGCTCTAGATTCAGTGAGAGACTCTGCCTTAGAAAAATTGAGGTAGAGAAGGAAGACATTACAACAGCAGCCTCTGGCTTTTCACATAAAATACACAGGCACCTAGCAGTTACCAACACTTATTTTTGATAAGGTTGGGGGTGAGGAACACGGAGGGATTTTGCAGACTTGGCTGGATTTTCTGTGGTTCAGTGGGCTGTGTGGATGTGTGTTGCATTTTGTAAGGGAACAATTCTCTCCCCTTCAGGATGGTGTTAGCTATGAGTCTTCTATTGGTGCTGTTTGTCAGATTGAGAAAAGTAGTCCTAGTTTGCAGTCTCCTGATGATTAGACGGTCGATTTTCTTACATGTTTTATTACTATCTGTTGAGATCTTCTTTTTCTTCATTTCTTTTACTGTGGATTATGACATTGATTTTTTTAACTGAGCATTACATTCCTTTCTGTGTATTTATGGTGTGTGTGTGTGTGTGTGTGTGTGTGTGTGTGTGTGTGTGTGTGTGTGTGTGTAAATCCAAAGCCCCAAGAGTCGGTTTTTTTCCTTCTACCACATTGGTGATGGGGGTCAAACACAGGTCCTGAGGATTGGTGGCAAAGTTTTTACCTGCTTAGCTATCTTCCTGGCCCAATAATATTTAAAATTTTTATTTAGATTTATTTATTATATATAGTGTGTTCTGTCTCCTTATATCCCTGCAGGCCAGAAGAGGGCACCTCATTGCAGATGGTTGTGAGCTACCATGTGGATGCTAGGACCTGAACTCAGAACCTCTTGACAACTAGCTAATGTTTTTAACCATTGTGAGATCTCTCTCCAGCCCCTGCCCCCACATATTTTTTTTTACAAAGTCTTTTATGACTATAAATTTTCCTGTTACACACTGAATTAGTTGTTTTGTGTAAGTTTTATGTTGCATTTTATTATTTTTTTTTTAAAAAAAAACCTTTTATGTTCATGGATGTTTTGCTCTTGCATGTATGTCCATGCGTCACATGTTTGCTGTGCTTAAAGATGCCTTAACGGGTGACATATTTCCCTGGAAATGGAGTCATAGATAGTGGTGAGCCACCAAGTGGATCCTGGGAAACAAACATGGGTCATTTATCTACAAGAATGACAAATGCTCTTAACTGCTGAGCTCTCTCTCCAGCCCTTCCTGTTTTTTTGATAACTAATTTTAACCCGTTGTAATCAGAGACGATGCTTCTTGACATGGGAATTTTTTAATTGAATTTTTACTATTTTAAACTATGTGTATGTGTGTGTATGTGCTTGTAGCTTCAGCTGCCCAAGGAAGCGGCAAGAAGGCATCAGATCTCACAGAGCTGGAGTCATGGGCAGGCACTTAGGGACTTCTTGACATGGATTGCTGCAAGAGCAGCAAATGTTTTCAGCTGCTGAGCCATTTCTCTGGGCTTGGCCATGTGGTTTGATTATTTAAAGAAACAAAACAAAAAACAAAGAAAACATTGAGGTGTGTTTTAGCTTAATGCCTGGATTTTTTTCTGAAGAATCTTCCATGTACATTTGAGAGTGAATGTATTTTCTGCTATTATTGCATAGTATTTTGCTAGTATGATAGTCTAACTTATTTGTAGTGTTTTTTACCGTGTTGTCTTTTCATGCTGACTCACTGAAAGTGAGATCTAAAAATAACTAACTACTGTTGATGAACGGTTTGTTTTATCCTTACTTCAACAGATTTACTTCATTTTATTGTTCTCTTGCATAAAATCCTACATCTTAAAGACTGAGCTAGCCTTTTCCATCACATCTTTGTTTCTAGTAACAGTTTTAGTCTTAGTCTTTTTTATCTGCTATCAGAGGAGTCTACTTGTTTATGATCAGTTAGTATTGGGGTCTGGTAATAAAGACTAGAATAACGCACTGAGGGAAGATGGATTCAGGAAGAGGTAAAATATGCAATTAACTGCAGGCCTTACTCTGTGAGGTGTGGAAGAATATTTTAGAGGGTATGTGGAGGGCTTGGATATACATTCATAGTCTCTGGAGTGAGATAATGGAAATATTTGCCATGCCTGAATATCTATTCTTGTGATCCTAGAGGCAAATCGTTGGTATCATTGCCTTGCAACATGATATCACACTTTTTTTGTATGTGGCTCAGGTGAGAAAGAGAGAGAGGACCAGGATAAAATATTTTCAACCCTTTTCTGAGCCCTTGTAAGGTCAGTCCTGTACCTTAAGGATCCAAAACACAAGGTTAAATGAACTCTCCATGAAACCCAGAGCAGAGGCTGTGCACCTACACTTTGGATCCTTTCTGGAGTCACAGATGTAAAAAGGAAAATAAAGATACAGGGAATAAAAAAAGAGAATACTATTGCATGTATTTTTTTTTTGGTAGAAGTTAATAAGCTGTAGATAGCAGCTTGTAAAAGGTCCTTGTCATGTACTAGCATAAAACAGGTTTTATAGATAGTAATTATCTAAGGATTTGTTGTTCATTTTGTCAGACCCCAAGGAGAAGACAGCTGTGGAGTTTCTAGATGGTGTATGTTGATGCCTGGAAAGAGTCAAGCCCATCATTTCTAGGGTTGTTTTTGAAAGAACCATTTTCTTTTTTGGGCTCAAACTGCATTAATTTAACTCAAGAGACAGGAAGGAAGGGTTTACATCCCAACTCTGAAGCTCTATCAGTAGTTTCTTATCACTCTCCCTTCCTCAGAGGACAAGCTGCAGATCAGTGTTTTTCCTCTGCAGGAAATGTTTTTTCAAACCCAGTGCATATGGATAAATCATGAACTTGAACTCAGGGAAAAGAACCCAACCCAGATCATTGATACTTTTTTTTTTTTTTTTTACTGGATTTTAAAAATCTTTGGTAGGGACGGTGTCCCCATCTCCTAAATAAATACATTGAGATTTATTCTTACTTACGAATGGCTGGCCTTATCTCAGCTGTTTCTAGCCAGCTTTTCTAAATTAAATTATCCCATTTCTCTTTATGTGTTGCCTCTGAGCTCTTTTCCCTTTATTTATTCTATGTGCCTTGCTTTCCTTCTTACTCTGTGACTGGTGCCCTTGGTGTCCTCCTCCTCTTGTCCCTGGATCTTCTCTAGGTCTCTCCTCCTATTTATTCTCTCTGCATGCCAGCCAGCCCTGCCTATTTTTCCTGCCTAGCTATTGGTCTGTTCAGCTATTCATTAGGCCAATCAGGTGTTTTAGACTGGCAAAGTAATGCAGCTTTACAGAGTTAAACAAATGCAACATAAAAGAATGAAACACATATAAAATATTCCACAATGTTCTTTTCTTGATACTATATCCTTATCCTTTAACTCTCCTGGAGTTATGCTCTGTGGAATCTCCCCATAACTTCTGTTTGAAAACTACTGTTTCACCACACTTAGCCCCTCAATAAGAACAATTGTAATTTACTAGAAAACATGTTTGGAGGCATTCTGCTTTGTATTTTATGGTAGCCCATTCAATATGAATAGAGTTGGCCACAGCCACCTGTGCCTGTCTTTGTACCAGTACTGTTGAAGAAGCATGCTTATAAGTTTATTTTCTTTGTCTTGAAGGTTGTGGCAGCAGTGCCTGAAGATATGACAACAAGCTTTGATCCTAGTGAGCCATCATTAGAATCGCTGATATGTGTGGTTGCCATTGGACTGCTTACCATTTTCTTATTTCTTTGGAGAGGATACCGATCAGTAAGTAACTACTTATAGTAAGTGAATGGTCATTCTAAGTTTTTTGTTTTTGTTTTTTAAGTTTATTTCCTTTTATGTGCATGACTGTTTTGCTTGTATGCATGTGTGTGTGGTACGTGTTCCTGGTCTACAGAAGTGATTAGTGGGCCATTGTTGGATGCCCTGGAGCTGGAATTACTGATGACTGTGAGCTATAATGTCGATGATGGCATTTGAATTTTGGTCCTCTACAAGACTAACAAATGTTCTGAGCCATTTCTCTCTAACCTTCATTTTGTGTTTAGATTGAACATCTAATTGGAGAAACTTGTTATTTCAGGGAAATGAGTTAGGTCTTAGTGTTCTGCGTTATGCTAACAGGTGGTTTTTAAAAACTGAACAGAGATTAACAGAAATATTTTTATGTAAGTGTATTTTAAAGGATTTTATTGTAGGGATACTACACACTAGTACTAAAGCCCCAACTTTCTTTCCCTTTTCTTCTTTAAATTTGGGGTGTCTGTGTTTGTTTTTAACAATATTAAAAAGTTTGCAGGTGTATCTACTTCCTAACTAAGAGTAAAAATCGCCACTTTCATGGCTCTCCTGGATCCTATATTGCTTTTTCCTATGGATCCTATATTGCTTTTTCCTATGCTAACTGTTTTTAAGGAGGGAGTCATAACATAGCCTTTTCTTTCTGAGACTTCTTTTTAGATGTTGGCCTTTGTGCTTCTGACTGACTTCATTTCTAATATCTTCATGGTTTTTTCTTCCTTACCTTCTGCTTACATATATCCTACTGTTTTTTTGTCATTTTTTTTTCTTCCAGTTTTCTGTCTCTGTTTTCTAGGTGGCATGAGTGTTCTTGCTGCGTCCCTTGATCACTTTACCCTATCCCCACTGTTCTCAAGGGTGGATTTATCCCTTCCTTATCGAAAGCTGAAGTATGAAGAAGAAAAATACTAATGAGTTTTTTTAGTCAGTCAAGGTCTAGAGTCCAATGATATTTCATATATTTTTATTTTGATTATTAACCGTAGGAGATTTAATAATGGTGGCTCCTTAAAATACTTTGTTTTAGAGCCAATATATGCATGGGAAACATGGAGTTAAGTGGAATTATACAGTTTTCTTTAGAATAAGACTGTTTCAGAGCCTTTAATATGATAACACACATGATACCACACAATGGGAGACCTTACTATATAGCATTGTTTTCATTTGAAATAGAAGGCTTTCGGGTAATTTATTTACCATAAGGACATAAGAAAGTTGGCATCTTAAAGCTGGAAGTAGAAGTCAGATAGATTTGCTTGATGATATATTTGTTTTAATGTAATTTTGTTAAATTTTTGTTTCAGATTCAAAGCCGACTTTATTTGAGTAAGTAGTCTTTTTTGATTTTAGATCTTGTGATTGTATATAATTTAAAGCGTTTTCACACTTTAGTCATAATAATCTTTTCTTTGCTTGCTCAGTAAGAGAGAATAGACTGGCTGTGGAACTTGCAATGGAAATCAAAAAGAAATGTGATCTAATTGACAAAGTGTGCCTTGCTCAAAAGGAGGTAAGATGTGTTTGAAAATACAATCCATCACAGTGTGGAGCTTAATTGTTCTCCATGGGTTATTGCCTGCCATCAGAGCTTTGTTTCAGACCAGAGCTCTGTTGCTGCTCAACTTCATCACTTAGCCATTCTCTTTGCAGCCACCCTGGTGATGTGTAGTGTTTACCTTCCCTGACTAATTAGTCAGATCACCTTGATTTGCTTATTGCTCATTTAGATATTGTAAAATTGTCTTTTAAGTCTTTTCCACGTTAAAAGATGACTTTATTTTTATTGTGTGTGTCTATTTGTGTCTATGTGTGTAGGCGTGTACCAAGAAGGCATTTGTGTGTTGATCATAGGATCATAGGACATGGAGGAGTCACTTTCCTCTTTTTATTACGTGGGTCCCTAGGATTGAACTCAGGTTATCAGTCTTGGCAGCAAGCTCCTTAACTACTTACTGAGCCATCACACTTGCCCATTTCCATCCTTTTAAATGCACTCATAATCTTTCTCAGTTTATGCCATATAGATTAGGGCCTTTGCTTTTACTATTTTATGTCGTATATAAGAAAGAGTTTTGTCAGATATATGGATTGTAAATCTCTTCTACTCTGTGGCTTACATTTCTGTTTTGTTCAGTGTCTTAGAAGGTAGAGGATTTGAATTACAATTTAATGTAGTGTAATGTTTCATGAGATTTTTTTTTTTGCTTATCAAGGATGTAAAGGTACTTTTACTTGTTATCATGTAGAGACTTTATTTACTGTTTTCATTTGGGCATGCTAGGGCTACTGTGACAAAAATACCTTTAGCAGCAGAAGTGAATTTCCTTACAGTTCTTGAAATGAGTCCATGAAGATATAGCCAGGCTTTGCTTCCTCTGTGATATGTCCCTTGACTTTAGATATTGCTGTCTGCTTGTTATGTCTCTCTCTGTCCTAGTGCTCTCCACATAGGATACCAGCCATATTACATTGCAGTCATCTTAAATCCCTCATTTTAACCTAGCTGTATTTAAAGGCTTTGTCTCTAAATAACACAAATTCTGAGGTGCTGAGACAGGGTTTCTCTGTGCATCACTGGCTGTCCTGAAACTCACTCTGTAGACCAGGGTGGTCTGAAACTCACAGATTTTATCTTCCTTACTTGCCTTATTTATCACATGATATAAATGTCTGATAGCCAGTTACCACATATTGTTCTACTGACAGACTGGAGAAGCGATTAATCTGTTCAGGGGATAGTAGATGACTCACTTCTTTAGATCCACTTTAGTCACACTTGCTGTTAGGGTTTTCAGCCCCAGCAGATGTGGGGCAACTTTGGTAGTCACAAAGGAAACGTTCTGCCATATGTTGCCTAGGCTGGTGGTTGTGGCTTGTTTGTAGACCTGGCTTTCCTCAGCACAGTGTTTAGATTGCAAAACTAAGCTCATAAAATCCAAGGGTACTTTACATGGTGGATATAAATTCTGTTTCCTTCTTTGGTGTCTATTTAGATACAAGTTGAGATAAAATTTGTATTTTTTTCCTCATGTGTTCCCTTGTTTTATTCAGTGTGAAGGCTTAGAGTCATCCTTAAAGGAGGCCAACTTTGACAAGGCATCAACAGAAGTACAGAGTTTGAAGGTAAAAAAAAAGTATGATGTAAAAGCTAGGGAAAAGGTTCTTATTAGAAATATCTTGTCTCCTCAAAAATAATTATGTCAGAGAAATATGAAATTGTGTATCTGGATCTTACAATGTACAGAAAAAGTTAGTGGAAACAGAATAGTTGTAGGTGGCATAAAATATTTTAAAACATAACAGTTTTATCTCTTGTCATTAACTTGTTTTGAGGGATACAAAATCAGTTTATCAGAAGCTATAGATTTATAGAAAGAAAGAAATTCTGCATTCTGTACTCTGGTGAATGGATTGGAAAGACAATTCCTACTTTTGACATAGTTTGCTCCAGGAAAGAGACATAGAACTCTCACAAATTTAGGCATAGTAGCAGACAAGTAAGTTGTGACCATATTGTTTTTTCTTACCATGGTAGTAGATATTTACTAAAATTAGAATTGAGGTTTACATTGTAAAGAGTGGCATGGTGATAAATATTTAATCCCTTTCTGTGCATCAACCCTTGTCTACACACTCCATCACAGCCAGTTTTCAGTCCATAACCATGATTTCACAGAATGGAGAGTTTAGGAGAGATGGACAGTTAACTCTCTTGATTCAGAGGACACAATGACTTGTCTTAACAGACAGAGTATGATGTGATGAAGTGCCTCAATACTCTTTGAAAGTGGAACGGTTATTAAAACTGAATTGTGAGCCTGTAGAGTAAATAGAAGTAGCCTGCTCCTACCAATGATAAAACAGAAAAAAAACTTTGTCCCTTAGATTATGTGTTCAGTCCAGTATGTCAGTTCTGTCATCCTCTGTCCTGAGTAGCAAGTCTGTTTCTTATGATTTAGAATGCCCTTGTAGAATCTGCAGGGAGTTTAGACTCCAAATAAACTCATTAATTTTTCTTTATTTTTACATAAAAGTTTTTTTGGAATGCAACTGTTTTAATTCCTTCAGTGGGTATTCATTGTTTTCCGTGGTTAACTGGTGGGCACCTAAAATACTTACACTTTTTTTTATAGAAGTTGCTGGCAACTGTTAAACCTGTTGTTATTTTAATATTTGAGAAATGAAAAAACGTATAAAGTGTTTATAAATTTGAGTATACTCATCTGATTTTTACCCTACACTCATCTGATTTTTACCCTAACTAAAAATTCTTATGTTTGGCTTGTTAAAGTTAGCTTTCTATTTTAGGCAACTTATAAAAATCTAGAAAGAGATAAATCTAAACTTGAAGAAGAAATATTACTTATAGAGAAGAAACTAGAAGAAGAGAGAGCTAAACATCATGAAGAAGAGGAATTGGTGAGTCTTATATATTCCAAGAGAATTATGAATCTTACCTATAAATTAAATATTGATTAAAATATTATATGTGAGCCAACCATAGTGGCACAAACTTATAATACCAGCACTTGGGAGGAAGAAACAACAGTTCCAAGCTATCCTGCCCTGAAATGTAAAGAAACTCATGTATATAAAAAATGGAATGCAGGCTGGGCATTCTTGACAAATGCCTTTAATCTTAGCACTCTGGAGGCAGAGGCAGTCAGATCTCTGTGAGTTTGAGGCCAGCCTGCTCTACTGAATGAGTTCCAGGAAGGTTCCAAAGTGACACAGAAAAACCCTGTCTTGAAAAATCAAAAGAAAAAAATGATGTAGAATAATATGAGAACAAAAATTTTCACATCTGATCTGATCTTTTCACCTCTTTTATTTATTTGTTGTTATGTTTTGTTTTTTCAAGACAGGATTTCTCCATGTAATAACTCTGGCTGTTGTGAAACTCACTATGCAGACCAGGCTGGCCTGGAACTCACAAAGATCCACCTCCCTCTGCCTCCTGTTTTCTGGGATTAAAGGCATGTGCCAACACCTCCCATCAAACTTTTACTTTTTAGATGTTATGATGAGTGGCTTGTGCATATTCCTGTTTTCTTATTGTTTATATTCATTGACATAGTATTAGAATATAGTCCTGTATGTATGAGTGAGGCTGGCCTAAAACTCATGACCTTCCTGTCTGTGCCTCTTAAGAGCTGGGATTACAAGTGTGCACCCCCACACTTGGCTCGCTTGTTATTTTAAATGGAAAATTTCAATATTTACGTTGGAAGTAACCATAAAGAATATAACTTGAATATTCATAGTGAAAAATATATAACATATATATATATATATATATATATAATTTATTTTACTTTAAATTCTGGATTAAGCAAAATCTTGATGTGTGTGAGATTATTTAACATACGAATTAGTGGGTTCACCTTAAACCTGAAAAGTTCTATCATGTATTGCTTTTGTAAGGACATCATGTGATTACATAATTTTTAAAATCCTTGTGAGCACTTGGAATGCAAGCTGACAAGGCCTCCTTATCTGGCCTCTCCCTTTTATTAACAGTAAATTAACAATGTATTTCACTAATGCATGTTGTCTTGGAGCAAAATAGACTTATTAAATACTTACTGACTGATACTGTCTTTTCAGATGAGTCACCTTTCAAAAATGATCCAGTCTCTAGCAGATGAATCACAGTCTGTCAAATCACAGCTAGCTGAAGTAAGTTAAGTTGAAATAAATTAATCTGTCACTTCTGAAGACCATTTATGTTTCATATTATTATTAGGTATATTTGTCAGAGTTTTTTAGAGGAACAGAACTTATGAGATGTCATCTATCTATCTATCTAAATATCTATCTATCTATATATCGGGTATTTATTAAAGCGATTTCCAGGCTGTGTGCCACTCAGACCAGCAATGTCAGTCTACCAACAGAGAGTCCAAGAATCCAGCACTTTCTCAGTCCATGAGGCTGGATATCTCACCTGATACTCAGTATACACTGGAATACCAAAGAAGTAGGCTGTAATGCCAGTGAGGGTGAGGACCAGCAAGCTTCCTCTTCCATGTCCTTTAGATAGGCTGCTGCCAGAAGGTATAGCCCGGAATATAGGTGGATCTTCCCACCTCAAAAGATCCAGATTAAATGTGGGTCTTGCCACTTGAAATTATTTAATTTAGAAACAGTACTCACAGCTTCCTTGGGTTTTAGTTAATTCCAGTTATCATTGATAACCAAACAGCCATCACATTAGGTAATAAAATATTGTTAGTATTTGAAATGTAGCCAATCTTAAATATGCATCTGTTTTAATGTGTTACTTTGATTGAAATTCATTTTCCTCTAGATATATTTAACCTAGGAATGTATCTGAGCACTCTTGAAGTTGTGTAACATGTATCGATAATAAATAGATTTGCTTCCTGCTGTATAAAGTTTAGGTCAGGAGACAAAGTGTAAGGAGTATGGGGTCTTTCTCTAATATCTACTCCTACACTAGTGAGCATGGAAGAGAGAGGTCACCAGTGGACTGTCCTCCTGAGACCTCCAGAAAGCCTTCAATTCTAGTTAGAGTTTCTTTTCTAAAATCACAAAGTGGGCAGGCAAGCAAGCAAATTTTTCTGAAGTGTACATGGCAGTAGCAGGTTGCTAAGGGTGACAACCCATTCTTTCAGCTATTTCTCCAGGTTATTCCCTTCCTGGTAGCAAGTGAAGCCATGTTTGGCAAATAGGCAGTAAAGCAGTGTTTTAAGTAAGCCGCTAAATAAACCAATAATTCTGTAACTAATAATTGTTCTTTTCTATTTCAGTAGTTAACAAAATGGTCTGCATTGTACATGGAAGGTTCAATAATTTGTTCAAAGTCATGTGGCAAATGACTTTGTCTATCAAAGTAGTGTTGATACTGCCTCTGCTATAAATAGTGGAATGTTTTGGCTTTTGCTTACATTTTATGTTCTTCAGAAAAGACATAATCAGGGGGCTTTCTGCTTAATTGTTATAAACGGTGTATTTCTCTTACTTAGGCCAAAACCACACTAAGAATATTTGAAATAAATAAAGAACGACTTAAAGGAGTAATAACAGATACCTTGAATGAAAATTCTCAACGTCAGGAAAGCGTGCGTCAGGTTTGTAGACTACAGATATTTTTTTTAGATATGAATATAGCCTTTGATGTTGTGGGTACTCACAAATGAACCATGTGTGGAGTTGTGTAGTGAATGAGTAAGCTTATGAGAGCAGGAAGTCTCCCCTGCAGACTCCCATAAAGGATTTAAAAGTGTGTTCTTCCATCTGTCTTCTCCCCTGATAGAAGGCAGTCAGAATTTTTACTCTCACAGGAGACATCGGCTAACAGGATTCCTCACAATAAAGACTGCAGTAAGAGTTAACAGATTACCAATTGGGGTGCTAGAGGAGGGAGGAGTTCTTGGGTAATGTAAAGTGAAATCTTACCTTTTATCCTCACCCTCCTCTCTCCTAGACACTAACCCACACATGCTCTCGCTGCTGTTGTCATAAATCTGTTTGTCTTCCCAGGTCCCAGGCCCCTTCCCCTCTGTCTCTTTTCTTCCTTCCTTTCCCTCCCTTGCTGTCTCTCTTTTCCTTCCTTTCTATAGTGTGCATATTGAGATGGGGGTGTTTGTGGGTGTGTGGTGTGAGAGTTTGACTGTGCACAGGTATGACATGGTGTTTGTCCTTACCTTTACTTTGTTATAGACATACTGTCCTTTTCCTCTTGTGGAAACGCTTTTACTATCTTCCCAAATTACTAGTGTGACATTTTCTTCTTACAGTATTATGGATCTCTGAATAGTAGTCTGCCTGACTTGACTATATATCCTGAGTTGCCCGACGTTTTATTTTACTACTTGGCTTCCTGTAATGGATATTTGTAATCTATCTCAATGGAAATGCCAATCACTCAACTACCTTGGCTAATTTGTTCATTTACAATTCTATTATTTTCATTATTGTTATTTTTTTGAGAGTGTCTTGTATTGAAATTCAGGGTGACCTGGAACTTACTGAGGTACTCAGTCTCCTAATTGCTGGGTTCAAAGTTATGTGTGTGCCTACTGCCAGATTTTTCCTCTTCTATTTTTTATTTTAATTATATGCATGCGTGTAACTTGATTGTAGATATGTGCACACAAGTGCAGGTACCTTTGGAGGCCACAAGCATCAGATCCCCAACATGGTCTGTAAGGGGAACCAAATTCAGGTCTCGTGAAATAACCATAGATATTCTTGGACTCCTTCATTTTCTTCTGGGGGCCATTTTTCTTGGAATCTTAGATTCTCCTAGTCCAATAAGAATGTGTAATGAGTGGCAGTGGTGTCACATACCTATTTATCCCAGCACTGTGAACAGAAGCAGGTGGATTTCTGTGACTTTGAGCCCAGCCGGGTCTACAGAATGAGATCCTGGATAGCCAGAGAAACCATGTCTCCAAGAAGGAAAGAAGGGAGAAGGAAGGAAGGAAGGAAGGAAGGAAGGAAGGAAGAAAGGAAGGAAAGAGAAAGAGCAAATAAAGAAAAAGAAAAATGTGTTCTATAGATCTACTGGGCATTTTTGTCCTGATACTACAGTTCACTCAGCAGCCAAGGATTCTTGTTTCCTTATCTTAAATGTTCTGTTTCATGTTTCAAAAGAGAACATTTTTGATTAATTAACTTGTTTATCTTTCAGATAATAAGGTACTGTAGGTAATTTTAAAAGGCAATTGCATAGCTGTAAAGGTCTTATTTTTCCATTTTTAAAAAAGATTTTATTTTAAAATCAATTATTATTTTTTTAATTTTGTGCATGTTATATTTGTGTGCATTTGTGTTCATGATTAAGGTGCTCTCAAAGGCCAGGGAAGGATGTTGAATCTCCTGTACTTGGAGTTATAAGTGGCTGTGATGAGCCCGATATAGGTGCTGGGAACTGAACTCAGGACCTCTTGGAGAACAGTGCATGGTATTAACCACTGAGAAATTGCTCTAACTCCTTGTTCTCTTTCATGTTTCTGATATTTCGATACTTATTTGCACTTCTTGGTGTTTTGATTCTGCTTTTGTTGTTGTTAGTGTGACAGGGTTTCTCTGTGTAATAGTCTTGGCTGTTCTGGAACTCACTATAATCTCATGCAGGCCTCAAACCAGGAGATCTTTCTGCTGTGCTGCATTTTTTTTTTAAATAAAATTTTGATATTGCTGCATTGTCTTCCCTTTCCATGTTTGGTTTTGAAACTTGAATGATGTGTTGATTATGGGACCTTCTTTGCTTGCTGCCCTTTTTTTTCTTCTCGAACATTATCTTTCTGTTGTCTCTGGCTCTCTGAGATTGTGTGATGATGTGTCACATAGGGTTTCATTAATATGTTGGATTCTTACATTCTGGAAACTCTTGAAACTGTGGGTTACTAGAACTATTTATTGTGACAATTTAAATTTTGTTTTTTTTCCTTTTTATTTAAATTAGAAAAAATGTTGTTTTACATGTCAATCCCAGTTCCCTCATGTTCCCATTTACCCCTATAACCCCCACCAAAACCCACCCTATCCCCTTTCTGCTTCTCAGGGAGGGTAAGGCCTTCTGTGACCAAATAGCAATCCAAGAAATATTGGAGAGACTAACTTTAAAGCCCTTCCATATAATGATATTGACGACTACCTGATTCGTTGAGTGTGTGTGTGTGTGTGTGTGTGTGTGTGTGTGTGTGTATTCATTTGTTCACGTGGATACATATTTGTAATTGTGTGTAGTGACTAGAGGCCTTAATAGTGTCAGGGATGGTCCAGTTTATTTTTTTAGAAAGAATCTCTCTAAGTAATTCTGTCTATCCTGGAGCTCCCTATGTAGATCAGGATGACTTTGATCTCACAGAATTCCCCCTGCATCTGCCTCCTGAGCACTGAGGTGAAAGGTGTGCATTGCTGTGCTGGACAACATGTCATCTCATTGAGCTGGTTGGCCTTAAATCCAATTAGAAAGTGGTTGCTTACTTTAATAACACTTATGCTACTGTGGTACCATAAGCCACATCTTGCTGCTGGGTTGTTATTTCAGCTTGTGTGCTTCACAGGTAGGTGACATTGATGAATATGTTTGGACTGCTGTATGCATAACACCTTACAGCACTATTGAAGCTTGCCAGTAGGGATGAAACATTCAGCTAATGTATGCATAAAAGAAAAAACGAGATGAGTGGCAGAAAATGTGATGTGTATATGCATGTTTGAGAGAAGACAGGTACAGGGAGGTAATAGGAGAGATATCAGGAGCATGTGTATACTTCTGTGTGTTGGTATGTGGGTATATGTTCAGGCATTTGTAGGGACTAGAGGAGGACATTAGATCATATAGAATTACAGGCACCTGTGAGCTACTCAGTGCAGGTGCAGGGAATTGAGTGTGGGTCCTCTGCAAGAGCAGTATGTGCTTTTAACTACTCTACTGTCTCTCCAGTTCCCTAATTCTTCCCTTTTGGTTTCCATTCCTCCCTCTACTACTGCTGCTTTCCATCATGAGCCTCTCTGTATTGTGTCAAGTCATCTTATTTTAGGATTTTCTAACTGGCTTATGTTTCTTCTATTGTCTGTGGATTGTTTTGTCTCACATGTGTTCCTTCTGTTTGTCCATTTTCTTTTGGGGTTGATGCCTTCTCCTTTCACATCTTTGTTCTATCATCTCAGGTTTTAGAAAACACTGTGGTGAGGACTCCTGTGTTGATTGTCCTTACTATAATAAAAACTGAGTCATCCTCACTTCAAAGTCCTAATATATATCAGAATATATATATATATATATATATATATATATATAAATATATATATATATATAAATATAAATATATATATATATAAATAAAAAAATAAAAAAAAAAAAATATATATATATATATATATATATATATATATATATATATATATATTTTTGGGTTTTTTGGGGGGCACATACCTTTTTTCCAACACCTGGGAGGCAGAGGCAGGTGTATCTCTGCTGTGAGTTCCAGGCCAGCCTGGTCTACAGAGTAGGTTCTAGGACAGGCTCCAAAGCAATGCAGAGAAACTCTATTGGGAAAACAAAACAAACAATCAAACAAAAGTAATGAGATGTAGCAGAGTATTTAGGGTACAAAGATAGAAAGAATTGACTAGATTTTTCATACAAGTATGTGTCAAAATCGTGTACTTGATTAAAATTTTCCTTGTAAATCAATTGAAGAATATTTCTTATTTTATAGTCTTCTGCTTTGAAAGTTCTTTATAAAAAGGAACCACATCTGAGTCCCTATTTACGTAGCAACCCTATCTTTTTTTAATATCATTTAATAACACATTTAGTATCTTTTAATGATATTGAAAAAATTCTTCTAAACATTGTGCTATCTTTCACATCGTTGTTATTGTTTTCCTGTCAGTATTTAGAAGAAGCTAAAGTCATGAAAGAACAAATGAATCAACTCAATAAACAGAAAATAGCAATCGAAGTATCCAACGTACAGGCAGAGCAACTCCTAAAGGTTAAGGAAAATCAGATCAAGGTAATGGCTTGTTGGGTTTAGTCACTAGTTGGTCACAATTTTATGCTTAATTGTAAATTCAAATAATTTTAACAGCTTTTATTTGCTATTGTGTCTTTTTGTTACATTTCAAATGCTTCTAGAGCATACATAGATTTGTAATATATATGTTAGCACTCCATGTCTTTGTTCACCAGTATTTTAGCCTAGTGTTCATGAATAAAGAAATAAAATAATGATTTTTACCTTTTTGTTATTTTATATAACCAATTCCATTTAAATGAAAACAAACATTAGACAATATTTGGGAATTTGGGCATCACTCTTTCCAAACTACTTCCTGCTGGTAAGGGGCTCTGACAAGGTAATTCCAAGAAGATGCAGAAATCCTGGCTGTAGTCTGTAAGGATGCTTTGTCCAGCTGTTTTGAATGTAGGATCACCTGGTACTCTGTTTCAGGCAGTCTGGCTTTATCAAACCACATTAGTCTGGAAGGAATCCACATCTTTTCATTTTCTGTGGAAACAAAAATAGAAATCCTTTTCCCCAGTAACTTGTCCTTGAGCTTAAATTTTGGAGTCAAAGCATTTTTTTAATTTAATTTATTATTTTACATGTCCATCCCAGTTCCCTCTCCCTCTCTGCCCTCTCACATGCACTCTATCCACCCTCCCCTCCTATCCCCCCACCCCAATTCCATATGTAGGGGAATGCCATCCAGTTGGGGTCATGTAGATCTGACAGGTCATGTGAAGTAGGGACTAGGGATTCTCTCCTGTCTCTAGGTTAAGGCAGTTATCCCTCCATGGGGGATGTGTTCGCAAGGTCCTTTTGTGCACCAGGGATACATCCTGGCTCCACTGTCTGAGGTCCCTTAGACTGCTCAGTCCTTCTGGCTGAGAGGCATATTCAGGAGGGCCTGAGTCAGTCCCATGCTGGCTTCCCAGCTATCAGTCTGCTGGCCCATTAGCTCCTTCTTATTCAGGTAAGCTGTCTCTATGTGTTTCTGCAGCCTGGTCTTGTCCTCTCCATCTGCTTCTGGGTTCTACTTCGACTCAGTGTTTATGTATGGGTGTTTGCTCCTGTTTCCATCAGGCACAAGTTTAGTACTCCATGGATAAGTTTGTTGTTGATCTCACTCTTCGGGAAGGGCATTTATGATAGTCTTTCCACAGAAGCTCAGATTGTTAGTTGGCAGCAGTCTTGTAGCTCTCTAGACCTTTCTTTGTGTTCAATTTAACTTCAAACCATTATTGGCTCCATCTTTTATGTTCTCCTCTCTCTCTCTCTCTCTCTCTCTCTCTCTCTCTCTCTCTCTCTCTCTCTCTCTCTCATCTTCTATTCCTAACCGGGCTCAATCTTCCTGGTCGCGCATGTTTTCCTTTACTCCCTCTTGTTTTCTCCTACTTCTCTCTCCATTTGCTGCCCCCCCCCCACTTCAACTGAGCTCTGGGGGAATTGTCCCTTCCCAGTTCTGTGAGGGACTTTATATGAATCTCTTAGAATACACCTTCTATCCTAGTTCCTCTGGTGGTGTGAATTATAGGCTGGTGATCTTTTGATCTAGGTCTAAAATCCACATATGGGTGAGTACATACTGTGTTCCTCTTTTTGTGACTGGGTTACCTCATTCAGTATGGTTTCTTCAAGTACCATCAACTTGCTTGCGAATTTCAAGATACCATTACTTTTTTCTGCAGAGTAGTATTCCATTGTGTAGATGTTCCACTTCTTCATTAACCATTCTTCAATTGAGGGGCATCTAGGCTGCTTCCAGGTTTTTGCTACTACAAATAGTGCTGCTGTGAACATAGTTGAACAGATGTCTTTTTTGCATGGATGTGGATCATTTGGGTATATGCCCAAGAGGGGTATTGCCGGGTCCTGTGGTAAACTAATTCCCATTTTCCTGAGGAACCGCCATACTGATCTCCAAAATGGCTGTATGAGTTTGCGTTCCAACCAGCAGTGGAGGAGTGTTCCCATTCCTCCACATCCTCTCCAACATGAGTCATCATTGGTGTTTCTAATTTATCCATTGTGGCAGGAGTAAGATGGTATGTCAAAGATGTTTTGATTTGCATTTCCCTGATAGCTAAGGATGTGGAGCATTTTCTTAAGTGTCTTTCAGCCTTTTTGATTTCCTTTGTTGAGAATTCTTTCTTCATTCTGTAACCCATTTTTTAATAGGGTTATTTGGTGTTATGTTGACTAGGTTCTTGAGTTCTAAAATTTGCCCTTTGTCGGATACAGGATTGGTGAAAAATCTTTTCCCATTCTGTTGGCAGCCATTTGGTCTTGTCCACTGTGTCCTTTGCCTTACATAAGCTTCTAAGTTTGAAGAGGTCCCTTATTAATTGTTTTTCTCAGGGTCTGTGCCAATGGAGTTATGTTCAAGGATACCTCCTACTTTCTCTTCTAAGAGGTTCAGTGTGGCTGGATTGAGGTCTTAGATCAATTTGGGCTTGAGTTTTGTGACAGACATGGGTCTATCTGCAGTCTTCTACACACCCTCATCCAATTGTGCCAGCACCATTTGTTGAAAATGCTGTCTGCACCCCATTGTATAATTTTAGCTATTTTGTCAAAAATCAGGTGTTCATTAGGTGTGTGGGTTAATATCAGGATTTTCAATTCCATTCCATTGATCTGCCTGTCTATTTTTATGCCAATACCAGGCTGTTGTAAGAACTATAGCTCTGTAGTAGAGTTAAAAATCAGGAATGATGATGCCTCCTGAAGTTCTTATATTGTATATGGTTGTTTTGGCTATCCTGGGTCTTTTGTTTTTCCATATAAAGTTGATTATTATCATTTCAAGGTCAGTGAAGAATTGTGGGGGGGATATTAATGGGGATTGCATTGAATCTGTAGATTGCTTTTGGTAAGATTGCCATTTTTACTATGTTTATCCCACCTGTTCAAGCGCATGGGAGATCTTTCAATTTTCTGGTGTCTTTCTTAATTTCTTTCTTTAGAGCCACAATGTTCTTGTTATATAGGTCTTTTATTTGTTTGGTAAGCATTACACCAAGATTCTTTATGTTGCTTGTGGCTATTGTAAAGGGTGATGCTTCTCAATTTCTTTCTCTGTCTCTTTGTCGTCTGAAAAAAAGTAGGGCTCTTGTTATTTTTTTGAGTTTATCTTGTATACTGCTAATTTTCTGAAGGTGTTTATCAGCTGTAGGAGTTCCCTGGTAGAGTGTATTGGGTTGCTTATATAAACTATCATATAATCTCCAAATTGAGACAGTTTGAGTTCTTCCTTTTCAAATTGGATCCCGTTGATCTGCTTTTGTTGTCTTATAGCATTAGCTAGAACATCTAGTACGATATTGAAGAGATATGGAGAGAGAGGGCAGCTTTGTCTTGTTCTTGATTTTATAGGAATTGGCTTAAGTTTCTCTCCATTCAGTTTGATGTTGGCAGTTGGTTTGCTGTATATGGTTCTTATTATGTTTAGGTATGTTCCTATTATCCCTGACCTCTCCAAGACCTTTATCATGAAAGGGTGTTGAATTTTGTAGAAAGAGTTTTCAGCATCTAGGGAGATAATCATATGGTTTTTATTTTCTGTTTGTTTATATGGTGGATCACCTTGATAGATTTTTGTATGATAAACCATCCTGCATTCCAGGGATGAAGCCTACTTGGTCACGGAGTATGATTTCTCTGATGTATTCTTGAATTCAGTTTGCCAGTATTTTATTGAGTATTTTTGCATTGATGTTCATCAGGGATATTGGTCTGTAGTTTTCTTTCTTAGTTGTGACTTTGTGAGGCTTGGGTACCAAGGTTATTGTGGCCTCATAAACAGAGTTTGGCAATGAACCTTCTGTTTCTATTTTGTGGAATAGTTTGAGGAGTAGTGGTATTAGTTCTTCCTTTAGTGTTTGGTAGAATTCTGCACTGAATCCATCTGGCTCTGGACTTTTTTGGTTGGAAGGCTTTCGATGACTGCTTCTATTTTTTTGCAGGTTTTAGGTCTATTTAAGTTGTTTTTCTGTTCTTAATTTAATTTTGGTAAGTTATAATTATCCAGAAATTTGTCCATTTCCTTTGAATTTCAATTTTTGTGGAATGCAGATTTTCAAAGTATTACCTGATAATTATCTGCATTTCCTCTGTTGTTATATTCCCCTTTTCGTTTCTGATTTTGTTAATTTGCATATTCTCTCTCTGCTTTTTCGTTAATTTGGATAAAGGTTTGCTTTTTCGTTAATTTGGATAAAGGTTTGTCTATCTTGTTGATTTTCTCAGAAAACCAACTCTTCCTTGCATTGATTTTTTTTGTATTGTTTTCCTGGTTTCTATTTTGTTGATTTCAGCCATCAAGTTGATTATTTCCTGGCATCTACTTCTACGGGTGAGTTCACTTCTCTCTGTTCTAAGGCTTACAGTTGCGCTGTTAATTCTCTTATGTGACTATCCTCTGCTTTCTTCATATGGGCACTTAGTGCAATGAACATCCCTCATAGCAATGCTTTCAAGGTGTCCCATAAGTTCGGGTATGTTGTGTCCTCATTCTCGTTGAATATCAGAAAGTCCTTAACTTTTTTGTTTATTTCCTCTTTGACCTAGGAGTGGTACAATTGCACATTGTTCAGTTTCCTTGAGTTTGCAGGTTTTCTGCTATTTGTGTTGTTGTTGAATTCCAATTTTAAAGCATGGTGGTCTGATAAGATACAGGGGACTATTCCTATTCTCTTGTATCTGTTGAGGTTTGTTATGTCACCTAGTATGTGGTCGATTTTAGAGAAGGTTCTATGTGGAGCAGAGAAGAAAGTATATTCTTTTTTCTTTGGATGGAATGTTCTATAGATGTCTGTTAATCCCAGTTGAGACATAACTTCTGTTAGTTCTTTTGTTTCTGTGTTGAGTTTCTGATTGGTGGTCCTGTCTAGTGTTGAGAGTGGTATATTGAAGTCTCCCACGGTAAGTGTGTGAGGTGTTATATGAAGTTTGAGTTTTAGTAGCGTTTCTTTTTCAAATGTTGGTGCCTTTGTATTATGGGCATAGATGTTCAGAACTGAGACTTTGTGTTGATGGATTTCCCCTACGATGAATACGAAATGACCGTCTTCATCCTGTTTGATTAATTTTGGTTTGAAGCCTAACTTGTTAGATATTAGGATAGCTATGCTTGCTTGCTTCTTGGTTCCATTTGATTGGAATATCTTTTCCCAACCCTTTATCCTGAGGTAATGTCTATCTTTGAATCTTAGATGTGTTTCTTGTATGCAGCAGAAGGATGGATTCTGTCTTCGTATCAATTCTGTTAGCCTGTGTCTTTTTATTGGTGCGTTAAGGACATTAATGTTGAGCGTGAGTAAGGACCATTGATTGTTGATGCTTTCTTGATTTAGGTTTGTTGTTGGCAGTGATATTGTGAATATATTAGTTCTTCTTTACCCTTGGTTTCTGGTGTAGTTGGATTATCTGTTGTCTACATTTTTGTGGGCGTAGTTACCTTCTTTGGGTTGGATTTTACCTTCCAATAATTTCTGTGCGGCTGGATTTGTAGACAAGTTTTGGGAAAATCTGGTTTTGTCATTAAATATCTTGTTTTCTCCATCTATAGTGATTGAGAGTTTTGCTGGATATAGTAGCCAAGACTGGCATTCGTGTTCTCTTAATATTAAAGAACATCTATCCAGTATCTTCTGGCCTTGAGGGTTTCCATGGAGAAGTCAGGTGTATTTTTGATAGGTCTGCCTTTATATGTTACCTGTCCTTTTTCCTTCACTGCGCTTAATATTCTTTATTCTTTATGCTAGGTGTTTTGATTATTATATGTGGAGGGGTCTTTTTTCTTTGGTCCAGCCTATTTGGGGTTCGGTATGCTTCTTGTACTTTCATGGGCATGTCCTTCTTCAAATTTGGAAAGTTTTCCTCGATGATTTTGTTGAATATGCTTTCACCATCTTGAGCTGGGCTTCTTCACCTTACTCTATGCCTATTATTCTTAGGTTTGGTCTTTTCACGGTGTCCAACATTTCCTGTATGTTTTTTGTTAAGGATTTGTTGGATTTATGATTTTCATTGGTCGATGAATCTATTTCTTCTAGTTTATCTTCTGTACCTGAGTTTCTCTCTTCGATCTCTTGAATTCTATTGGTTATGCTTGTGCCTGTAGTTCCCGATTGTTTGCCCAGTTTTTCTATTTCCAGCATTCCTTCAGTTTGTGTTGCCTTTATTTTCTCTATTTTAGTTTTCGGTCTTGAACCATTTCATTCACCTGCTTAATTTTTTTTTTTTTTTTTTTTTTTTTTTGGCGGCTTTCAGTACTTTCTTTGCTTTCCTTAAGGAATTTGTTCATTTCTTCCACTTTTTGTTTGTTTTTTTCTCCATTTCCTTAAGGGATTTTTCTCACATCTTCTTTGAGGGCCTCTATCATTTTTATGACAGAAATTTTTAAGTCGTTCCCTTCTGCTTCCTCTGCTTTGTTGTTGTGTTCCATTCTAGTTGGTGTAGATTCCCTGGATTCTGGTGGTTTCATGCTTGTCTTTCTGTTGTTAGGTGTTTTCTTGTATTGCCATCTTCTCATAGCTTCTTCCAGTAGGTGTTGATGGGGTCTCCCCCTCTCTCTATGATACTTCCCCAGTGGGATTTTGTGTTCAGTGAGTCAATATCTATATCTCTGGGTAGTCCAAACTCTATAGGAAGTCTCTCCACAGACAGGGACCCAGGGATGGGGTCAGAGCTGAGGATAATGTAGAAGATGCCACTAGACAATGGCTCTAGTCAATGGCTGGGGGAGGAGGACAGAGGCTGAGCTGAAACTTGGGAAGTTTCTGCATGATAGTCTGATCTCACTGGAAACTGGGACTCTCCAGCTGAGGCCTCTTTCTTTAGCAGAGGCCCTGCTTTAGGGGTCAAGGATCTTGCCGGCGGCAGGAACTCAGAGTGGACTCTCAGATATAGGCGGATTTCAACAAAAAAAAAAAAAAGAAAAAGAAAAAAAAAAAAAGAAATATCAACAGCAGCAGAAAAATCATTTGATGGTCTTCCAGTACTCCTTCAAAATATTTTACAACGTGTCTTTGTTTGTCTCAGTTGGACTCTCCAGCTAGTTACTTCCTTGTATAAATCAAGAATCTGTAGTTTAATTTTTTGTGGGTATAATCATGTGAGTTTTTTGTCCCTCAGAAACCAGAAAGTTTGTAGTCCCTGCAGCTGAGGTTACAGGGAGTTGAGAAATGCTAGATATGGGTAGTGAGATTGAATTTGGGCCTTTGTCAAGATAATATCTGCTCTTAACAGCTGAGCCATCTCTCCAGCCAGAGATGTTAATTTTTTAGTTGGTGTGTATTTGTATGTGCCCATGTATAGGAATGTGCATTTGAGTGCAGTGCCCAAGATGTCTATGATGTTTTCATAGATTTGTATGAATCTTTTTTATAGCTTTTGTATGTCTCGGAGATAGATGAAACACCACACAACATTTATCCCACTCCATATGTTATTGGCCACTGCATGCTTCCCACAGAGGCCAGAAGAGACCACTGGATGTCCTGGAGCTGGAGTTACAAGTTACCCATCTGATGTGGGTGCTGGGAAAAGAGCTTAGATGCTTTAGTAGAGTAACAAGTCCCAAACTGCTCAGCTATCTCTCCAGTCCAACTGTAAATTAGTAAAAAAATATAAAGATTGTCAAAAGAAAGTATTTTAGGGAGTGGGGAGATGGTTTAGTGGGTTAGTGCACCTGGTCTGCAAACATAAGGTCTTGAGTTTGAATTCTAAGCACCCACATAAGAAGAGCATGGCTGCACATGCCTGAGAGCCCCGCACAGGGGACAGAGACAGTGGAGATTAGAGCCTGTTGAGCAGCCATGCTTTTGAGATAGTGGAGTTCTTATTCCATGAGAGGTCCTGTCTCCAGGCAGTAAGGTAGAGTATGATGGAAGAAGACACTTGCATCTTCTTGCCTCATGCTCTTGCAGCTGTATGTGCACCTGCATACTCATGTGTGTATGATACACACAAAAGAAAATATTTTATTGCTTTGTAGTTAACAAGAATGAACCATTATAAAACACTGTATTTGATTTTGTTTTCTCTTCTTTCTTTTCCTTTTTCTCTTCATCCTTCCTTCATTCCTTCCTTCCCTCACTACCTCCCCTTCCTCCATCCCTCCCTACCATAATATCCATAATATTTATTTTTGCATACAGTGTTTCAAGAGGTAAATTTCTTACCAGAACTCACTTTATTATATCAGGCTGGCTCCCATCTCACATAGATCTGCCTGCATATTCTTTCTGAGTGGTGGGGTAAAAGATGTACCATGTTCAGCAAGTTAGTTTTTCAGGATTAATAGTCCCTAAATGTGGAGTTAGAAGATAAAAGCAACTGTTTACATATCTCAATTGCAGACAGATACTCAGGGTACAAAAGGATTATTTATTTATGGGGATTGATTTAAAAAATTATAATATTTAAAAATTTACTTGTGTATGTATGTGTCAGGTATGTGCATTCCATGATGTGGATATGGAGTTCAGAAGACAAATTTTGGGAGGCAATTTTCCTACCATGTGGGTTCTGGGGATTAAACTCAGATTATCAGTCTAAGTGGCAGATGCTTTTACCTGCCGAGCCATCTCATTGGCTCAGGATTGAATTTCAGATGAGTTAAGTTCTAAATTGTAAAGCTATTATCATGAGTCATTACCTTCTCTTTTTGTTTTCTCTTTTTACTCAATATCCAGTCTCTGATGGAGAGCCTGCTAAGGATGAAAGACTGGAATTCTGTGCTTGGGGAAGATGTAACTGATGATGGTAATCTGGATGTAGAAGTGAACAATGACTTAGAGAATAACGTGCACTGACTTGTGGCGACTGACTCCTTGTTTCCTCTTCATTCCACATGTGTATCGAGCTCCTCATATACTTAGACTTGGCACATTTTGTCTATCTTCATGAAATACCACACTCCCTTTCCACCTTATTTAGCTAGTCTTTTGTGTAAATCTTTCTTTACCTCTTCGGAGTTGTAGACTTCTTCTCTTTTGTTCTTCTCTATAGCCTATATTTCTCCATTATAACAACACAGCTCTTAAGTTCCATAACAAAAGGGGAACTATAGTAAGGTATAGTAATATAAAATATTTGTATTTTTCATTTTTATTTTATAATACAAGAAACATATTTATGTTTAATAGTACTTAACTTGGAGCCATGGTTCATTAATAATTTTAGTGTTGAAGCCACGGTTGACTACTTAACCTGGATGCTGTAATGCCATAAGAATCTAAGCATAGTTAAGTCCATGGACACTGTTTAGGTAAATATTCAGTTCTTGTTGGGTCTCTGTAGTACACTGTCTATCTTCCTGAGTGTAGATCACTCTACCTTATATAAATTATTATTTTTATTTTAATTACTCTTTTTACTGAGACAACATCTTGCTGTAGGTCAAGCTGGCCTGGAATTCACCTTGGAGTCCAGGCTGGCCTTATACTCATGGGAATCCCCTTGTCTTAGCTGTGAAATGTTGGAATTAGAGTCAAGAGCAAGTAAGCTCAGCCTCAAATTATTTAATTTTGGCCAGAAGAGGGGTTGCAAGACTAGATAAAGAAGTAATGTATTCATTTGGATGTGTTCACTAAGTATGGTTTTATTTTTCACTGTAGGTAATCAGCCTAAGGGAGCTTTGAGGAAGCTAATATATGCTAATGAGGTTTGTATTAGTATGTAAAAATCTAGATGAGAAGGAGCAGGACCTACAGCAGACATGAAATCTGTGTGTCCTTAGTAACTAATTTAAAGATTGCTTTAATTTTTTGTATAAGGTTATATGATAAATGATTAGAATGTTCTTTTTCTTTTGATGTATTAATTTTCTGTGCATTGGTGGTTTGCCAGTATGCTTGTTTTTATGAGGGTTTGAGATTCCCTGGGACTGGAGCTACAGACAGTTGTGAGCTGCCATGTGCGTGTAGAGACTTAAATTCAGGTCCACTGGAAGAGCAGCCACTGTACTATCTCTCCAGCCCCTAGGATTTCCTTATCAATTTCTTTTTTTATATCAACTTTAGAAATTTTTATAATTATAGTATTTAGAAATGTTCAAATTGTACACTCATTTCTTCCATTAAAGATATCTTCAGAATATTATTGTTTTATTTAATCATTCCCCATGTGCATTCTTTTCTTCTGGTTCCAATGGTTCTATATACTCTTTTGAGAAATAAATAATAGCTGTGTTTTCTTCTGGTTTATTCCCTCTGTCAGTTCTTAGTTAATCTGTGTAAAAAGTCCTGATTGTATACGGTGAAGGCTGCTTTGGCAGCTGCACTGATGTCTTTATGTTGTCCATGATAACATCATCACGGGGAAATAACTGCAGAACAGTAGTATGGGGTATATTGGGGATGTGTGTTTCTTTTGTGTAATTGATAATTGCTTTTCTTCTTCTTTTCCTTCTTTGAAGTTAAGTGCTTCATTAAAAACCCTAGAAGGAGACAGAAACCAAATTTATACTCAGTTATCTGAAATAGATGCAACAAATGATGATCTTACAGGTAAGGGTTCTTGACGAGCACGTCTCCTTAAAGAGAATGAATTACTTCTGAGTTTTACTGTCAGTGGTAAACGTAGTCCATTTTCTCTTATATTTATGTAAATTATTAAAAGTATGTAAGAATGTGGAGTATGGTGCATCTTTGTTAGGGTTTCTATTGCTATGTAGAGACACCTTGACCATGGCAACTCTTATAAGGAAGACATTCATTGGATCTGGCTTATAGTTTAGAGTTCTAGGGCCTGCAAATTATAAGTATACCATAAAGTAGTATTCCATAGTAATTGCACTGCAGAAGATCACACAGGCAGACATGGTGCTGGGGAAAGATCCAGGAGTTCTATATCTAGATCTGCAGGCAGCAGGAAGAGTGCCACTGTGTCAGTCTTGAGCATCTGAAACCTCAAAGCTCACCCTCAGTGACAACTTCCTCCAACAAAGCAATACTTCCTAATAGTGTCACATCCTCTGAGCCTAGGGTGACATTTTCACTCAAGCCACCACAAGGAGTACAATGTTGGATATAGTTTTAGATGTTAAAAAGTTTTAAATTTAATTTTTTCCTTACATTTTTTAAAATTGAGAAAGTGATCTTCAGGACTTGAGCTTGTAATGTCTACTATTTTAATATATTCATATAATTTATTAGCATACACAAGAGTGGCTTTACACCTGTAAAAATATATTTTTAATGGAAAGCATTAAAAAAGTTTGCTGATTTTGTTCACATTGAAAAATAGTTTTTGCCAGTTGTGTTTGTGCTGTAAAAGGTATATCACATCTCACTGTGTTAATGAAATAAATTCATATTTTTATATCTGAAAAGAATGGATGGACATATTCAAATGTCTGTGCTGGTTAACTCAGAATGGAACCACAGGCATCTTTTTTTTTTTATTTCTCCTCATCTATATTTTCTTTTCAAAACAGGCTTTATTGATCCTGTTACACTTGCTTAAATGATGCAACATAAGACAAAAGCTTCTGCTTGTAGAGCTTCATTTTTACCTGCCTGATGCTTTTCCTGCCTGTTTCTAACTCTACACCTATGATCACAGGCAAAGCCCCTTCACTGATTACACAGCTGAATATAAACATACCAGAAATCAACATCAACAAAATAATCCTCTCAATGAATGCAAGAAACGTCAATATGTAGTCAACCATTGCCATGGCTGCCCAGAACTTCACATTTCTTCCTTTTCATTCTTAACTTATTCTGTCTTCCAAATGATAGCCAGAACCATTTGAATCTGGACCTATGCTCTATACCAGACTTCATCGTTGTGAGGCCAGCTTCAGTGTACTTTATCTTCTTTATAACCTTCACGACCAGGGTTGAGATCTGATGAGAAAAAGACCAAATGGGTCTCAAAGGCCTTTAAGACTTTTAATGAGCAAAATGCTTAAAAAAGATTGAACCATTGGATTAAATTGCCCTACTCACTGATTATAGTAATTGTATTGTTATTAGACCTGAAAAAACACTAGTCTAATTAAAAAAATGCTGCTATCTGAGAAGAATAGTAGTAACAGTGTGGAAGATACAGAGAGGAATAGGCACTCTGTTTTCAAGGCAGCTTTATCGAGGCATACATTAACGTACATGTATCTTAGTAGGAAGTACCAGTGTAGCAAGCAATTAGTTCACCAGTTATTCCATTGTTTACTCCTTCTCTTGGCCAGTCTTAATCCCCCCACCAAATAATATTGGAAACTCTTGTGTGTGTAGAGCGTTCCTCCAAATCCACCTTTTCTTTTTCCATGGTGTTTTTAAAAATTATTTAATGTTTTTTATTTATTTACTTTATTGGGAGTTTGCTCACATATATGTCTGTGTGAGAGTGTCAGATCCTCTGGAACTGGAGCTACAGACAGCTTTGAGCTGCCCTGTGGGTGATCAGAATTGAGCCAAGGTTCTCTGGAAGAGCATTCATTGCTCTTAACTGCTGTGCCATGTCTCCAGCCCCAACATTCTTTCCTTAATGCGTCATAAAATTTTTCAATAATTAATTTTTAACATATGGGAGCATTTTTTTCTAACCATCTCTCATCTCCCATAGATTCTGGCCTTTTTGGTAATTTATAGTGTTCTTCCTTTAAATGCATGTTTCTATGTAACCCCTGGCTTCTTGAAGTCCTCACATTTCTACCTCAGCTTCTCACATGTCTGCTTTATATAGGCTTAAAATTACTGCACCTGGCCTGTACAGTGCCCTATTATAGTGTCTGGGTTGAGTGCATAAAAGCCCCTTCTTCTGAGCCTGATGGTCTGAATTCAGTCTCCAGTGGAAGGAGAGAACAGACCCCTGCTAGTTGTCCTCTGACCTTTGCCCACCTGGGCATGCAGGCTGAGGTGAACACACACACACACACACACACACACACACACACACACACACACACACACACACACGTTTTTTGAATTGAGCTATACTTTTTCCCAGTCCCCTTCCCTCTGAGCCCCTGCCCTCCACGTCTCCCAAACACTTAGTTTTAAAAGTTTTAAAATGAGATAAAGTAAGACACTAGAAAAAAGAGCTTGAGTGTATAATGGTAAAATAATTTGTGTTGTTTTTTAAGGCTTCTTTGCATTAGTACGATTCAATTATATTACAGCTTGTATTGACCATTGATTTCTTGATAAGTGACTTGTTAGATCTGGCAGACAGCATGGATGGGCATTTTTTTTTTTCTGATATAGCTTTACGATTTTTGCAGAAGTCAACTATTCATGATTTCCTGTACATTTTCCCTTTGCTATTACTGTATCGACACAAACTTTTCTTTTGGTCCATATGTTTATTTAGCTTGCATTTTAGAATAATAACATCCCATTGCACATAGTTACTAAACTTTTCCTTGTTATGATTTTGAAACTGCCCTTTTGAAGTATAGTGCATTTTTTTCTTGTATTCGATTGGTTCACATATGTTTTGGGAATGATACCTTAGAGCAGGTCAGAGTTGAGGTTCTCATTTTAATATTAGAGCTGTGTAGAGTTGTATTAATCATAATGAAAGAAAAGTGAGATATGTAAAAATAATGGTGTGCTAGTTCATACAGAATTCACAATCACTTATAATTGTTAATCCATTTTGTGTGTGTCTGTATTCATATGTATATAGAGGACAAAGGTAGATATTCAGGCTTTCTTTCACTTGCTTTCCCCCTTATTCATTGAGAAAGCTGTCATTAAACCTGGATTGTCCTGCTCAGTAAGCCCTAGGGATCTTGTTTTTTCCCTTTTCAGCACTCAGACAGGTCTTATATGGGTGCTCATGACCCAAACTTTGGTCCTCATGTTTGTTTAGCCAGTACCATACTGACTGAGCTATCTCCCCAATTTTGTGGGTGATTCAGTAGTATAGCAGTTGAAATAATGTAAAAGTCATTATTCATTCCAGTCTTCATTTTGTTTGAGTCTTGGTCTCTCAGGAAACTGTAAATGAGCACTTATTATCAGCTAGTTTGAATGATAGCACATGAACAATTTAGACTGAAAAAAAGACTGATTTATTATGGTACTAGTAACTGAACTGTTGTGTATAGTAATTGTCTATAGCTGTATGTCCCTGGGCATGTCCAATCTTGTCAATTATCTTTTTTTCTTTAAGATTTATTTATTTATTATGTTTACAATGTTCTGACTGGATGCACACCTGCAAGCCAGATGAGGGCACCAGACCCCATTACAGATTGTGTGAGCCACCATGTAGTTTCTGAGATCTGAACTCAGGACCTTTGGAAAAACAAACACTCCCCTTACCATCTCTAGCCACTAAAAATTTAAGACATATTTTTAATTGTATATTGTCTGAGTGATTCCATATACATTTAAAAAACCCTAGGCGTGTGATTAAGGATTTTTGTTTTCAAGACAGGCTTCTCTGTGTATCTTTATAAAGTAGGTGGGTTTTGAAGTCACAGTGATCTGACCAACTTTGTGTATCGTTAATATTTTTAATATGTTTTTAATTGTATGAAATTCCTTTAATTTCTTTATTAAGAACTGAAGAATTTCTTTAATTCCTTTAGTTTCTTTATGATTTTGTACCTTTGTCTAGAGCATATGCGAAGTCTCAAGTCTGAACAAGTGTCTTTGCAGTCAGGTAATACACAACTTGAAATCGAGAAACAGAAGCTTCAAAGGAAAATCACAGTGATGAGGGAGCTGTACCAAGACAATGAAAGGATGCTTCACAGGTGAGAGGTGTTTGGTAACTCCAGTGAATGGCAAGTGAAATGTCTTTAAATGCATGTTATGTATTAGAGGCTTTACACATTGATTATTGGATGTTATCAATTACATAGAATCATTCATGTTGTTTCTTTTTTTTTTTAATTTGGTGTTTGTTTGTGTTTTCAAGACAGGATTTGTCTGTGTAGCTTTGCAGCCTATCCTGGAACTCACTCTGTAGACCAGGCTGGTCTTGAACTAAGAGAGATCCACCTACCTTTGCTTCCTGACTGCTAGTTTTAAAGGAGTGCCCTACATCACCTGGCTACATCATTCATTTTTAAGAATGTTATTTTGTCTTGGACGATTTTCTTCATGAACAAAATGTAAATATGTTGGAATTCCCAAGCTACCTTTCTCAGTATCTGGTAACATTTATCAGATTATTGCCTTAAACTCATGCTGACATACAGGGTCCAGGAATCTGAGCGGTGTCTTTGGATGGAACTTCCTATTGTATATAAAACTGACTCCTTTCTTCTGCGCAAGTTAGTCTTGCTTAATATTCTTTGTTGTAGTTACTAAATGGCAGTATCATTGTATTTGTGAACAGGACAGCTGTTAGTCATCCTTCAGTGCCCTTTTTGTGTCCCATATTTGTTTGTCTTATCATCAAATACTGTCAAATTTCTTAACCTTTAATCTGATGGCTTTTTATCATCTACCAATACTCTGGTTAAAGCCATCATTAGCAGTAGTTGGTTCATTACAGTAGCCCTATGAATGTCTTTATATCTTCCTACACTGTCTTTTCTCTGTAAACTCAGAATAACTCCTAAAACATAAATTGTGCATACTGTCACAGTCTTTCCTGCACCCCCCTCAAATGTTTTAAACAGACTTAAAACAAGATTCTCAGAACCAAGTTTACCATACCCACCTTGTGAGAAGCTATAGACTATTCTATGTCTCTTTTCTTTGTTGCTATCTATTGCCATTGGCTTTCTTCATTTTTGGTGTGCCCAGCACATCTGTATGGTAAGGTCTTTCATCTTTCAAGCTTTTTCTTTCCTTCTTTTTATTTTTTTCACTATGTGGTGTTCTATGTGCTTGCATTTTTGAATCTTTGTTTCATTCAGATGTGGGGTCCCGCTGTCATCTTAAAGAAGGCTTTCTCGGTACCCTAACTAAACCAATATCTCTTATTTTGTTTCGTTATTTCTCGTCACATCTTGTTTTGTTCTCTAAACATCATGTCCTCCGCCTTACATTAATTTAAACTCTGTAAGAAGTATGGTACTTTTATTTATATTCCCAGTGCCTAAACTGAAAGGAAAATAGTGGGTTTCCAATCAATATTTGTGCTCAATCAATTCTTCAATATCCTTGAAAGGATAATAATCAACTTTATACAGAAAAAGAAATAAAATCAGGATAGCTAAAACAATCCTGTACAATAAAGAAACTCCAGAAGGCATCACCATCCTCAACTTTAAGCTCTACAACTGACCTATAGTCCTGAAAACAGCCTGGTATTGGCACAAAAATAGACAAGGTCACCAATGAAATTAAATCAAATATTCTGCCATTAACCCACACAGCTACGGACACCTGATTTAGGACAAAACAGCTGAAAGTATATACCGTGAGGAGGAAAACATCTTCAACAAATGGTGCTGGCACAACTGGATGATGGTGGGTAAAAGACTCAGATAGACCCATGTCTATCGCCATCCACAAAACTCAAGTCCAAGTGGATCAAAGACCTCATCATATGTCCTTCCACACTGAAACTCGTAGAACCTCATAGAAGAGAAAGTGGGAAGTACCCTTGAACAAACTTGTACAGAAGACTGCTTCCTGAACATAACTCTAGTAGCACAGAAACTGAGATGTCCAATTAATAAATGGGACCTCCCCAAACTGAGAAGCTTCTATAAGGCAAAGGACACAGTTGACAAGACCAAACGGCAGCCCACAGACTGGGAAAATATCTTCACCGATCCTACATCTGACAGAGGGCTGATCTCCAAAATATAAAAGAACTCAAGAAACTAGTCAACAAAACACCAAATAACTCTATTAAAAATGGGGTCCAGACCTTAATAGAGAACTCTCAATAGAGGAAATTTAAAAGGCTGAAGGGCACTAAAGAATGTACTCACAGTCCTTAGCTATCAGGGAAATGCAAATAAAGGAACTTCGAGATACCATCTTACTGCTGCCAGATTGGCTAAAATTAGAAACACCAAGAACAACTTATGCTGGACAGGATGTGGAGAAAGGGGAACACTCCTCCACTGTTGGTGAGAGTGCAAAGTTGTACAGTTATTTTGGAGATCATTAAGGCGGTTCCTCAGGAAAATGGGAATCAGTCTACCACAGGCCCCGGCAATCGCCATCTTAGGCATATACCCAACTGATCCACATCCATGCAACACAGATTTCTGTTCTACTATGTTCATGGAAGCATGGTTTGTAATCGCAAGAATCTAGAAGCAACCAACATGCCCTTCAACTGAAGAATGGATAAAGAAGATATAGCACATTTACACAATGGAATACTACTCTGCCGGAAAAGAAAAGAATAGAATCTTGAAATTTGCAGTAAAGTGAATGGACCTTCAAGAAACTATCCTGAATGAGGTAACCCAGTCACAAAAAGAATAAAATTGTATGTACTCAATCATATATGTATTTTAGATTGAGCAAAGGATCACCAGCCTATAATTAACATTACCAAAGAAATTAAGATGCAAAGAGGATTCTAAGAGATTCATATAAGTTCCCTCACAGAAGGGGAAAGGGACAAGATCTCCTGAGCATATGGGGAGTGGTGGGGCAGTGAGTGGAGAGGGAGCTAGGAGGAAGAGAAGGGGAGGAGAGGAAAGCATGTGGGCCTAGGAAGATTGAGTCAGGGGAGGAATAGATGAGAAGAGAGAGGGAACATAATAGAGGGAGCAATTATATGTTTGAAGAGAAAAATGAACCTAGAGAAATATCCAGAGACCTTCAAGTCTCACTGCAAGTAACAATTTGAGCAACAGTGGAAGGGCTACCATAAATGCCCTTCCCTGATAATGAGATTGAGGACTGTCTTATCCACCATCATAGAGCTATCATCTAGCAGCAGATGGAAACAGAAGCAGACACCCACAAGTAACCACTGAGCAAAACAGGAATTCAGAAGCAGAGAGAGAGGACAAGACCAGGCTACAAATATACATTGAGACAGCCAACCTGAAAAAAGGAGGAGCTACTAGGCCCCCAGACTGATAGCTGGGATTCCAGCATTGGACTGACTCAGACTCCCTAAACATAGGTCTCTGCCGGAAGGCCTGGGAAGTCTAAGGGACCTTGACAGTGGAAACAGGATATGTACCTGGTGCACAAAAGGACTTTGGGTGCACATCCCCCATGGAGGGATACTCCCTTAACCTAGAGACAGGAGAGAAGGCCTAGTCCCTACTCCAAATGATGTGTCAGATTTAGATGACCCCTCCTGGAAGACATCACCCTACATGTGGAGTGGGGGGTGGGAGAGGAGTGTGGTCGGGGGGCATGGGGGGTATGAACAGAGGGAAACAGGGAGGGAGGGAGGGGGAACTGGGATTAATATGTAAAATGAAAATAAGTAAATAAAATTGTACTCAGTGTATTTAAATATTGATGGCAATATGAGACATTGCCCTGACATGTCCAGATAAGGCAGAGAAAATACCCTTGTGATACCAATCTTGCAATTGCAGATTTCCTAATAAGAATTATAGTTTAGAGTTTTCATTATAAAACCAAGCACACTTTGACTTTTATTGCCCTTTGGAAGTCCCTTGTCTGTCCTATTCCTTCATACATTAAGTGTGCATGTATTTATGTATGTGTGTGTGCGATGTAAAGTCCATTGTTAAATTTGTTTGTAACCTTAAAGCCTGTTTTTTTTTCCCCAGAGATTTGCTGGCCTTTCATTTGTAAACTGAGAATGATGAAGATTCTGAGAGGCCCAGTGTGAGAACTCCTGGTTGAGGGCTAACACAGCAATTTCTTTCAGTTCTCATTCTGTAAACAATTGTCTTCTCTGACTACCTCTTCTTTTTAGAATTGTTTATTTGGTGAGGTACCTGTTTACATAGAACCCAAGCATGTGCTTGAGTGCTGTCACGTGTTCTTGATGGTGAGAAGGCCATAATATACTTTGTGAAAAAAATGCCATGTATAAGATTAACTTTGTTTTGTCTTAACTTACAGTGCTGTTGGTTGGGAATTTACTTTAGGAAATACACAACTTATGTTAACCAAGATGTGTTTTAATTTGTTCGAGACTGTTCCATGTAGTCCATGCTGGCTTGACCCTGATTACAGTCAGCTGTGACTTTTAACTCCTGATCTTTCTGCTGTCACTTCCCAAGTGCTTGGAACAGATGTTTTCCACCATTGTAGATTTTATCTAGTTTTAAAAAATGATTTATTATGCTGGGCATGGATGGGGTACACGTTTAATCCCAGCACTCAGGAGGCAGAGGCTGCTGAATCTTTGTGAGTCTGGTCTACAAAGCTACATAGAGAAACCCCATGTTATCAACCAAAGCAAAATAAAGAAACAAAACTGTGATTTGCTCTTTTCAATTATGTATGGTGTGTGTGAACCTGTAAAAATAAGTGCTGGTGCATGTAGAAGTCAGAAATGTTGGCCCTCCCTGGTAGATAACATGCTGTTATGAGTCACTGGATATAGGTCTTGGGAACTGAGCTCAGGTCCTCTGCAAGAGCAGGATGTACTCTTCTTAATGGCTGAACTATTGCTCCTGCCCATGGATATTTATTTTCATTTTATGTGTATGTGAGAGTTCCTGTATGTATGTCTATGCACAATGCCTGTGCCTGGTGCTCTCTAAGGCCCGAAGAAGGCGTTGGATCTCTTGAAACTGAGTTACAAATGCTTGTGAGCTGCCATGTGGTTACTGATTACTGAACTTGTGTCCTCTGCCAGAGCAGTTTGTGCACTCTTAGGTGTGAGCCATCTCTCCAG